CTCCATGTAGTCACTTGCAAAAATAAAATTTCATTCTTTTAGCTGAGTAAAATTCTACTGTGTACAGAAAACATTTTCTTTAACCTTACATTTGTTAAAAGGAGAATATGTTAATTCCATAACCTGGCTTTTTAAATTGCATTTTCCATGTTTCATGTGAGAGATGTGCATGTTTGCATATGTGTGTAGGCATATGGGGGTGCAAGTACATGTGAGCCGAAGTCTGATGCTGGGAATCATTCTCAATAGCTCTTCCATCTTTATTGAGGCAGGGTCTCAATCAAACCCAGAGATCAACAATATGGCTAGCTAGACTCCTTAGTCATCTTGTCCCAAGAATCCTGAACTCTGGTCCCGACTCTAGCTAGCACGCCAAGAGCTTTAATCACTGAGCCACTTCCCAAGTTCTATTTGGCCATTGTAAATAGTGTCACAATAAATGTAGAGGTGTAAGTATATCTACTGAATATTGTCTTGATTATTTTTCAAGGAATTTCTATACTGGCTTTCATTTAGACTATATTAATTCTCATTCCATCCAGCAGTATAAAAGGGTTCCTTTCTCTTCCACATTCTTGCCTGGATTTGTTGTCTTCCTGATGGCAACCAATTTGGCTAGGGCTTAAATAGAATCTCAGTGTAGTTTTGATTGTACTTCTCTTTTATTTGATATATATATATATGTTTTTCGAGACAGGGTTTCTCTGTAGCTTTGAAGCCTGTCTCAGAACTAGCTCTTGTAGACCAGGCTGGTCTCGAACTCACAGAGATCTACCTGCCTCTGCCTCCCAAGTGCTGGGATTAGAGGCGTGCACGCCACCACTGCCCGGCTTTGATTGTATTTCTCTGATGGCTAAAAATACTGAATACTTTTTTCTTCCAATTCTGTATTGCCTATTTTACTTCTGTAGAAAACTATTCATTCACTTCACATTTCACATCTGTTTATTGATTATTTGTTCTCTTGGCATTTGAGTACTCCGTATAGTATGGCTATTAATCCCATGTCTCCTCACTCTACTAATTATTTCTTTTGCTGTGTAGAAACTTTCTACCCCTTTATGTAATCCCTTTTGTCAATTCTTATTATATCTTAAGTTACTCTAAAGAAAGTTGGGCTCATTTATTTTCTCTAAATTTCCTCAGTGGTGCAGCTTCTGCAAACCACCTCCAATACTGATTAAAGTGACCGAGTCCAAGCCAGAGTCAAGTCCACCTTTAGGATGAGAAACCGGAAGAGAGAAGGGAGCCTGGCACACTAAGGAGAAGAAAAGGGGATGAGGCTGGAGGCTTGGGTATATAAAAGGAGGAGCAGCAGGACTTGTTTGTAGCCCAGATGGCCAGTGCTTTAAAAATTAGAACTCATCATCTCATTTGTTTTTATGTATTGGGCAATTTTTAAAATGCAAACACTGTTTTGAAGAGATGGCTTTGAGGTTAAGAGCATTGCATGCTCTTCCAGAGGTCCTGAGTTCAATTCCCAGCAACCACATGGTGGCTCACAACCATCCAGAACAAGATATGGTGCCCTCTTCTGGCGTGAAGGCACACATGCAGGCAGAACACTGTATACATAATAAATCTTAAGAAAAAGATATAAGCATTAAGGAATGAGGTGGGTGGTGATGGCACACACATTTAATCCCAGCACTTGAGAGGCTGAGTCAGGTAGATTTCTGTGAGTTTGAGGCCAGTTTAGTCTACAAAGTGAGTTTGAGGACAGCCCACCAACCAACCAACAAAATATCAAAAAAAAAAAAATCAAGAAATAAGAATTAGATGCTCATTTTCCAACAGCCCTTGTGCTGCCTTAACTCTGGTCACCAGGACTGCAAGATGGCATCATTTATGCTTCTGAAGAAAAACTCATGGAAATTAAACTTGGATATTGATGCTGGATTTCACTCCCCACAGGTTCTATTGGAGCCTTTCAAAGATTATGACTAATGCTACAAATACATTATGCATGGAAAGACAGCATTGTAACATGGTGCTGGCAGCCTGTTTTTCAGTTACTACATTTCTTACAAAGAATTCAAATATGGGCAGCAATGCAAGCAAGTACCACTGAAGAGGGGTCAGTATGGAAGGCACTGCACACCTAATGAACTGGTAACAACTGGTTTATGTAATTTTAAAAAAAGAAATGGAAATCATTTCATCTTAAGACCCTTAACCCTGGGCTGGAGAGATGGCTCAGCGGTTAAGAGCCCTGGCTGCTCTCCAAGAGGACCAGGGTCCAATTCCCAGCACCCACATGGCAGCTCACATCTGCCTATAACGCCAGTTCCAGGAAATCTGACACCTTTATACTAAATGCACATAAAATAAAGTTAAATAAATATTTAAAAAAAGAACCTTAACCCTAATCCTACTAGCAAGCATCAAAACTAATGCTTAGAAATGTTCACAAAGCTCAGTTGGTGGAACATCACCAGAAAGCCTAGACCAGTCTGAAATACCACATAAACTAGGTGCAGTAGTACACACCTGTAATCTCACTTGGGAGGTAGAAATAGGAGGTTCAGAAGAAGTTCAAAGCCATCCTGAGCTATATAGCAAGTTTCAGGGCAGCATGTAATATGTGAGACTTTGTCTTGAGGGGGGGGGGGGGAAGAAAACTTGAAGGCTTGTTCTAAGAAGCTGAAAAGATAGCTGTGATTTAAAATATCTCCTGCTCTTGCAGAGAACTGGAGTTTAGTTCCCTGCAGCATCAGGCATCTCACAACTGCCTATTTCTATCTCCAGTGGATCTGACAACCTCCTGGTCTTCGTAGGCACCCTCATACCATGTGCACATACAAACATGAAGACATACATATACACATAAATGAAAGCTTAAAGAAAAATTAATAACTTGCTCTACATATCATTCTTATATGTGACATAAAAATAAAGAGAAATTTAAAGACAAAACTTTACTAAAAGTACATTTAAAGATAGTATTCAGTAGCAATTAAAAAAAAAGAACCTTCTAAAAAGAATAGGCTACAAGAATAGGCTACATAATAAGCAATGTTGAAGATTTCACATTTCAGATCAGTTTTGGTAATGTGAGTCAAGCATAAATACTCTTGAGATGTAATTAATTTACACTGACATTCATAAAACTAAGGCCCATAAAGTATCACAAAACCATAGAAACTATGAGCAATAAGGAAAGTTTCAGATTTGCTCTATTTACGTATTAACTATGAAATCCTGGAAAAGCTTCTCTCTTCTTTGCCGGCTATTTTCTTTTATGGAAAATAGACCTACCATGCGTCTTATGGTGTTAATTTGAAAACCAACTGCTAGATGCCTCAGTATAAAGTTAATCCAAGATGCATATAGACTCTCACTGAAAATGAACCATGACATTGGGCACAAAAAACACTGAAGACTGTAATCTAAACATTGAGAAGGTTGAGGCAGAAGGAATGAGTTAAAAGACAGCCTAAAAATATCTGTCTCAAAGATAAAACAGCAGGCTGGCAGGCAACATTTTAAATGAAAAACAGCAATGAAGCATGATTCAAATGGTCAGAGGTTAGACATCTTACAATAAAGTAGTCTAGTTCTAAAGAAATTACAGAATTAACAACTAGACATCTTACTTGAATAATTTATAAAACACTTCCAAACGAAGTAGATGTACTGACACTTCTCAAAGAGGCTGTAGGATAGGAAAACTCACATAAAGTATAAGCCAGGTATAGTGGGCACACACCTTAATACCAAAATATGGGAGGCAGAGGCAGGCAGATATCTTTGAGTTTGAGGCTGGCATCGTATATAGTGAGCTTCAAGACAGTCAGAGTTTACATAGTGGGACACTGTTTCAAAAACACCAATGAGTAAACAAATAAATAAAAAGAAGTAAAAGCTACAAAAGCTAACTAAACTGGAAGACCAATTAAATACAAAGTGAAATATGTTTGAAGACACTGGAAAGGGAGGATCTTCAAAAGGGCTTAGATAAAGAACGTGAGGAAGAAATAGAGTCAACTGTACAGAGCCAGTTCAAGCAAAACAAACAAAACCATATTCTAAAATTGTTTCCTCCACACCCATTTCATTCAAGTTTTATCTCAACATCACTGCCTCAGAAAGGCTACCCTTTAGAAATCTTAAGCATCCTTCCTATAGTCACTCAAATATACCATGTAACTACATTTTCTTCCTAGCACTATGTCTATGAAATTCTCTTTAAAGATACACTGAAGTTGGAATTAAGATTCAAATATGTGAATCCCAAAGCATGAAGAGATCTTTTCCACATACTACTGCCTATCCAAGTAAATAGATATCCTTACAACTAGAGATGACACTCAGTTCTGCTCTGCATGGTGCAGACTTCTACATTATTTTGGAATGATAAGATGGTCTAGCAGGTAAAGGCTTTTGCTGCCAAGTAAGATAACAAAAACTTGATTCCCGGGACCCCACAGTTGTTCTCTGGCCTCTACATGCACAGCAAGGCACGTACACACATACACACAAAATATATAAATTAAGAAATCAGTTAGCCCTTTTTGTAACATATGAAAATGGAAAGCACTCAATTCTGAAAGTGTTTTTATTCCTGGGTATTGATTTACTCTCAGTGAAAAAAAGTCTACGTATGAAGGTTGAGAATGTTAAGAATATTCAGAAAGAAGAATCCCTACATTGGTGATAAGTGAGAAACTATAAGAAAAATCAGAGTAGAAAAGAAGACAGAAGTAGAATTTATCAGTTTCCATATACTTGGAAATAAAAAAAAATGTAAGCATTAAATGATTAGAACATTGATACCCTTAAGTTCCCCTTATATCTAACGTTAAAGACACCATTTATAGATTAAGCTATGACTGATAAAAATAATGAGAAAAAATACACACAACCTGGGAGTATATCCTCGGTGTCAGAAAGGACTTATTCAACGATGACATAAAGCTAAGGGTGGGGGGAGTCACTTTCAATTCCAGAATGGACTCGCAGTGAGAGGAAAATAAATCCTATTCAAGTACCAAACTTACCTATCTTCTAAAATTTTAATGGTTTCCTGAAGGACTTTCTGTTGATCTCTCAGCTGTTGATTTTTGGTGAAGAATTCTTCTAGTCTTTGTGCATCTCTAAATTTAAGAAATAAAGATTCCACAGAAAATTAAAAGGATAGTTCTGACACTATAATTCCGAAGTTTGTGCTATGCTGTGCTGGAGAAGGCAGTTCAGACAGTAAAATGCTCGCTCCCATCCTCAGCAACCAAGACAGCCAGCACCTGCAACAAGGCAGGCACCCGGGAGGCAGAGACAGCAGAACCTCTGGGGCTTGCTGGCCAGACAGCCTAGCAAAATCAGTGAGATCCTGTTTAAAAACTTTAGGAGAAAAACAAATAAAAACACTCAGCATTGGCCTCTAGTCTCCATACACATGTGAATACTCATATGTTTCATATGTTCACACACATTACCTTGTCTTGAAAAAAAAAAAAAAGCTAAATGGCTGATTAGGGTAGAAGTATGTTATTGTTTTTTTTTCCTTAGTAAAATAAAGATTTTTTTTTCCATAAGCAATGGCAGATTTCTAAGATTATCAGATTGACTAATTGACCATTATGAAAATTATTTCTTTTGTTATGAAATAGATATAAGGTAGATAAACACAAAATCCTTGTTCCACTATGCAAGGACCTAGCTTACTTTGGAGAAGGCATAAAACAAACAAACAAACAAAACTACCCTTTACTTTCCTAGTTACTAGGAAATTGAATACTCATTTTTGTTTTTTGTTTTTTTTTTCCCCCGAGACAGGGTTTCTCTATAGCTTTGGAGCCTGTCGTGAAACTAGCTTTTGTGAACCAGGCTGGCCTTAAACTCACAGAGATCCGCCTGCCTCCGCCTCCCAAGTGCTGGGATTAAAGGCGTGCGCCAACACTGCCCGGCCTCATTTTTGCTTCTAAACCGGTGAATTTGGTATCCTGTAGGAAGACACTTTGAAGAATTTATGAAATTTGCAAATACAGTTTCTATTTTATACTCACATATTCTATTTTATAGGTGAGTGTTTTGCCTACATAAATGTTATGTGTACCATGTGTGTGCCTGATCCCCAGAAAAGTCAGAAGAGGCTGTCAGATGCCTAGGAACTGGAGTTACAGGCTATTGTGAGCAGTGATGCTGGGAACCGAACTTGAGTCCTATGGAAGAGCAGTGAGTGTTCTTAATCATTAGGCCGTCTTTCTACCTACAAATACTGTTTCTTACCATAGTTTTTTAAGGCTCAATTGGTGGTTATTGCCTTTTACAATTAGTGCTGTAAAGCTTCCCAAATAATGACTTTTATGTCTACTATTCTTTCTACATTTACTAATTGGAATTCCACTAATAAAGAGTTATTCCTTTGGGCTGGAGAGATGGCTCAGTGATTGAGAGCACTGGCTGGTCTTCCAGAGGACCTGAGTTCAGTTCCCAGCACCCATATAGCAGTTCGACAGGATGATCTAGCATCCTCACAGACATACATGTAAACAAAGAGCCAGTGTATACAAAATAAATCAATTTAAAAAAACTGGGAATCAAAACCAAACTTAAAAAAAAAGTTACCCTTTATTTTAAGAGAAATATAATTTGTGGTGGTTTGAATGTAACTGGTCTCCATAAGCTCATAGGGAGTGGCATTATTAGGAGGTATGGCCTTGTTGGAGTAGGTGTGGTATTGTTGGAGGAAGTGTGTCTCAGTTCACTTCCTGCTGTCTGAGGATTAATATGTAGAATTCTCAGCACCTTCTCCAGCCCCATGTCTGTCTGTATGCTGCCATGTTCCACTGTGATGATGACAGACTAAACCTATGAAACTGTAAGCCACGCTTTCCTTTATAAGAGTTGCCATGGTCACGGTGTCTCTTCCTAGCAACAGAAACTGTAACTAAGACAAATTTATCATTATTTATTTGTACAAGTTGTCTTAGATTTACTCTTGTGAGTTTTTTCACTTTGCCTCTTTAATTTTTTTGTGACAAGGTTTGATGTAGCCCAGGTTGTCCTCACACTTACTCTGAGGTCAAGATTAACAACTGCCTCCATCTCCAAGTGCTGATATTATAAATAAGTATCACCACGCCTGGCTTTTATTTGGTACTAGGAATCAACCTCAGGGCTCTGCCCATGCTATATAGTCTACCATGAGAGTTACATGACCATTCTTTTGTTATCTTTTAATGCACTACCTTTTTCATTACGTCCTTTTCTGGTAACACAAAATGTTCCAGCTCATCTTATATGCTATAAGCCTCAAGTAGCTGTTACCATTTCTTCAAAGAACATTGATTCCTTTAAAAATTATTAATTAATTGATGTGTATGAGGACTTTGCCTATATATATGTCTGTGTATGACTTATATATCTGGTGTTCTGAAGCCAAAAAGGACACTAGATCCCCTGAGACTGAAATTACAGGTGGTTGTGAGTCACCATGTGGATGTTGGGAATCAAACCAGGTCTTCTAGAAGAGCAACCAAGGGGTCTTAAACATCAAGCTGTCTCTCTAGCCTACACAGACTGCTTTACTGGAAGACACTGCTTAGAAATCAAGATCTGAGGTAGACACACATGTCACTGCTTTTAGGTCCTTTCAAGAGACCAATCATAGAACCTATACATACGTTCTCACCCATATTAACAAAAATATCAACTTCTATACTATTTATCTGTCAAAATATTCTATTAAGTGCCTACTGATAATTCCAACTCCCTACCAAACAGAGTGTTTCATTCAATTCTCCCCCTTTTTGGGTTTTTAACTCCTTTCTTCTACAAGTGACAATCCTAGCACTCGTTGTTAACAATGTAGTTACTTATTCGATACATTCTAGAATACGGATAAAGTAGTGCCAAATCCATTTAATCTAAACCAGTCATGTGAATTTCTGTGTAGTTATTTAGGAAATGATGGCAAAATTATGGTAAATTAGAGCATGTCAGCTGAATGTTCTGGCAAATGTTGATAATTAATAAAAAGAAATACAAGTTCTCCAAGAGATGACTACAATGACATGGTCACTGCGCCATTTTGCAAGACTAAGGGGGAAAGGGAAACATAAACACTTGTAGAAAAGAAAGAAAAGAATAATCTGAGTCTTTCAGTGATTTTCTGAGTGATTTTGGTGATTTCTGATTAGGTAGCATCTTTTTAAGGGCCCTGTATGTTACAAGAAAGAACATAATTTCCTTAATAGGAAAGTAATTTCTGGTTGATTGCTAGAAAGAAAATACCTATTCAGTGAGCAATACATTCCAATACCTACTTCTTAGAAGTAGTATCAGAATATCCATTTCATTATCATTCATTCATTGATATTAAGTATTCATCCACATTCAAACACATGTTCTGTGTGTGTGCGTGCATGTGTGTGCATGGGGGGGTCTTTAAAAATAAAATCTCATGTAGTTCACATGTACTTCTAGCTCCTGCTCTTGCTGCCCCTTCCTCCCAAGTACTGGGATTCCAGGTGCAGCTTCAGGCTCAGGACCGCTGTTGTTTGTAAGACAAGTTCTCACATAGCTCAGGCTATCTAAATGAGATTGGTCTAGAACTCCTGATTCTCCCACATCATCTCCCAAGTGCTGAGACTACAGAGACACTCCTCTCTGGTTAAGACTGGATTTTTATGTAGTTTAGGCTCGTCTCAAACTTACATAGTAGCAGAAGCTATTTTTGAATTCATAATCTGCCTACCTCTACTCTCAAGTGCTAAGATTATAGATGTCTGTCGCCATATTTGACTTCCATTTCTTACAAGTTTAGAAATCTCACAATTATTCTTCTCCCCTCCTTGTAATACTTTGAATTTTAGGAATTAATATACAAGAGAAAAGAATGGCAATTCTCATCTCACTAACTATTCTATGAAAAGATGATTTTATATTACAGAATACAGTAAAATAAACATATGCATATTTACTAAGCCTGTACTTAGTAACCAGTTCTTTTTTTACTTTAAACATAAACAATAAAAATATAATAACAATCAGTTAGCCCAAAGTTAATTCCTTTATAAGACATTAAGTTTTTCAAATAACAAAACTGACAATATCAACTACTAATTAATAAATAAGACATAGGCATTACATACTGATACTTACAAAATTCGTTCCTTTTTCAGTTTGGTTACTTTTATTTGTAAACCTGCAAGGTAACAGAAAAAAAAAAGCATAGTATTTTGTTACACACTGCACCAATTCTAAAGCAGTTATCTAAGTTCCTTTACGAGGCAAATGCTACACTATTAAACCAATTTAAACCGGCTTCTGAATAATGATCCAGGACTCATTTGATGTACAGTGTATTCCCCTTACTTGTACCCTCAGGCTACAAAAATAAATCTGCAACATTATTGCTTTTAGTCTATTAAATGACAGCCAAGTAGATAAAATGTGAGTTATTTCCTTTCTAATAGTGAGGGCAAACATATAATTAGCATTTCACTATAAACACAGGTCTGTGCCCTGACACAGCATATGTATTTGCTAACAGAAATAGTGCTTATGTAGGCTCAAGTCTCTAGGGATTAAACTAGATTGTGGCAGGAAGTCCTGAATTACAAACAAAATTGCTTAGAGAAGGTATTTAAATAACGACACTAGAATTTTTAACTCTAGACACACTCTTTTCATTTTTACTTAAGTCTGGTAAAAAACGAAACAGCAAGAGAAAATATTCATAAAGTAATACGGTATTTCTAATTGTCATGGCAATAACCAATAAAAGAAAATCACCAAATAAGCACAAAACATTGTCTACAATACAACTAGCAACTTAATATAAATGCAAAACAAAAGAATTACTAATTATAAAAATGATAGTGTTGAGCATTGATAAAGGGTTGTAAAACTATACAACCATACTTTTTCTGGAGATACTGGAAGCCAGTACAGTCTTTGGAAAACAACTTAGCATTATATCCAAAGATATTCACATCAGTATCTGAATTCTTGGGTTCTAATCTATATAGAAACTCATAATAACAAAATATTCAATGTAAAAATATTTAGAAATGTCTTCACAATATATATATATATAGATAGATGGATAGTACCACTTGCTGGAATAATAGTCTGTCTATCTCAATTATAATAAACTGATGTGGGAGTCCCCTCTGTGTGTTGCTTTTCTTGGTTAATGAATAAAGAAACTGCCTTGACCTGTTGATAGGGCAGAACTTATGTAGGCGGGGAAGACAGAACTGAATGCTGAGAGAAGAAAAGAGTCAGAGAGACGCCATGGATCCTCTGCCCGAGACAGAGCTAGAGCTAATGGGCCAAGCAGTGATTTAAGTAATACAGTTTCTGTGTGGTTATTTTGGGGCTAAGCTAGCTGGGCGGCCAGGACAAACAAGCGGCCTGGCTTTCCTTGTAACAATAGACAACCTTTACAATTTTCAAAGGCTCTTCAAACACACTAAACTGGGCCCTGTGGTATGTAACTGTAATATTGGCACTTAGGCTGGAGCAGGATGATCACAAGCTATATAGTTGAATCTGTCTTTAAAAAAAGAGTCAAATTAGCTGAATTTTTCTAGTTTAATACAGCCTTTCTCTTTATCCTCAACAAATTTGATTAACATAAGAGAGTAAAAGGACTATTTACTTTGATTCCTAATTAAGTTCTTACTATTCTGTAATTTCTTCAATTAGGAATATTATACTTTAAAAATAAATTGCCTAGAAATTAATATTCTCTAAGAATTTCATTTCCTTTCTCTTTTTAAAAGTTGGGTCTCCCAGACTAGAGAAATGGCTCAGGCGGTTAAGAAACCGGCTGCTCTTCAGAACCAGGTTTGATTCCCACTACTCACCACATGGTGGCTTACAACCACTGCAACTCCAGTTCCAGGGAATCTAAAGCTGTCTGTTGACCACATGGACACCAGGTATGCATATGATAGACATGGATACATGCAGGCAAAACACTAATACATGTAAAATATATCTTAAAATTAAAATCTTGGGGGCTGGAGGGATGGCTCAGTGTTTTAAGAGCACTGGTTGCTCTTCCAGAGAATGAAGGTTCCAACCCCAGCACCACACAGCTGTTCCTAACCACCTAGAATGCCAATCTTAAGGGAGGTGACATGCTCTTCTAGCTTTGAAGGGCAGCAGCACAGACATACATTAAGGCAAAACAATCATATACATAAAAATAAAATATACTTAAAAATTTAAAACAAATCAGCATCTCTATATTACTCAGGCTGGCCTCAAACTCACTATGTAGCGCAGGTTGGGTCTCAAACTCACAATCCTCCTGTCTCAGCCTGCTAAACGCTGAGAATTTAAGTGTGTGCCACCATATTCAGCTAAGATTATCTTCTATGAGACAGAATTAGCCCTGATGAAATAGTTATTAGTCAAATTATTTCTGAATAAGAAAAGATTATTTATTTGCAGCTGCCTTTTGTAGTTCATGGACAATAGTAAATTACATACTTACACCAACATGATGTGTCTAGAAACACTAATGCACTTAATTCTAAGAACAACTACTTCGAAGTATCTGTAATTACTACAATCTTGGATAACAACTTAGATAGGGAGAATTTTTTTTAAATGTCCCCATTAGTCCTTGTCAAGACAGACACTGATGGGGAAGTCTGTTGTACTCTCCTTACTGCCTCTACTGGTGCCAGGAAACCCAAATAAGCAAATGGAAGGCTCTGAAGAATTTGGGGGCTAGAGTTACAGTTTTGTTCTCTTGAGTTTGGCCACTAGGAAGTGTTTAATAAATATGACACATTTTACCCTTGGTTCTACAACCTATCGTTCAATTAAATAAAATATTATTAATAAGGAAGTGTAAAAAGTCATAGACATTACGTACCTTTAGTAAAGCAGCTATATATCAGAAACAACCAAATGTTCTTCAACTTAAGTAACATCTAACAATAAAACCTACTTCAGAGACAGACAGAGAATGGCAAATTTGAGGCTACTTTGTGCTACACACCAAGACTCTCTCTGAAGCAATTAACTATTGATACATGCACAATTTGGATAGATCTCAAAGGGGATTGTGCTGAGTAAAACATCAATTTCAAAAGGTTATTTTTTATGATTCCACTTATGCAACATTCTTGAAATGAAAAAATTAGAGATGAAAATGAGAATATTAATGGAATAAACTGGAGAGGAAGGATGGACTGAGGAGGTAAGTAGCACAGAATCTTTAGTGGTACACGCAATCTACACATCACTAAACTGTACAGAACTAAACACACAAGTCTAGGTTTCACACATACACAAGTGTACATACAGAATTTGTGTGATCTGAATAAGGCTAGTAAATTACACCAGTAAAAATTTCTTGATTGTGATAATATATAATATATATAAAGTGTAACCAGTATAGTGGCTCACATCCATAATCCTAGCAGAGGACTTCATGAGTTTAAGGACAACCTGGGTTATAGAGTGACTTTCAAAGGAAGCAAATAAAACTACACAATATACTACCAGTGGGAAAACCTAAATAAAGGGGACGCGGAATCTCTGCACTCTTTCTTAAAATTACATGTGACTTAAAATAGCAAGAAAAAAGTGATTTGCTTTTAAAAGATTTGCAAAATAATAAAAAGGGAAAGCTTGTATAACTGGTAAAAGTAAACTGGTGCGCTTTTATTTAAAATAATAACAATCCTTCATAGTTGCTGAATTCCTAATCCTGAATTTCCTTCTCTTTGGGTAATGATGACAAACTCAAGAGCCTTGGAAGCACTCAGCAAAGCATCATTCTTGCAGAATGAAGAACTTATGCCCCATAAAATAAAGACTGGAGTCAGCAGTTTTTGTCTCTTCTCAAAATGTGGGGATTTTTATTTACTGACAGATTTTCTTGTTTTTAATTTTGGCTGACTTCTAAAACTCAGGTCTGCTTTTGCAAGTGAAAAAGAGCCAAAGATGAAGTGGATGCTTGCCATGAAATAAAGATTCTTTATTTTTTAGACAAGAAACAATGAAGTGCAAAATCCATATAAACTTCAAAAGAAAATTCTTGGGAAATATGGGAAGACCTCTCTTTTATCTTATAAGCATTCAACACCTGTGAGGCATTTGTTCTGTCATGTGGATCAGCTCTGAAACACGTTTATGTGTACGTGTGTTTTTAAATTTTAGCATTTGCTATTCATCAAGTCAATTAGGTATCTACAATTAGAACCCCTATAAAGTGTGCTTTAATCCTGTTCCACACCCATAGGAAGGAATGAGGCTATACAACAATGCAGCTCCTGTATGAACAGGTAGTCTGTTCAACAAAGTTTTTGGAATCCTAACACTTGCAACCTGAGAACCTATTGAGGAAACAGTGCTCAAAAGACTAAGTACTATAGGACATCAATTAATCATATACCTATTCATTCTATGAATTTTGGAGGAAACCAAACAATCAAGAGCAAGTATATGTTGTTATATTACACTAAACAAGTTTAAGAGGTCATAAATGAGACAAGAGTTCAATTTGTGATGTATAAACAAAAATCAATGCTACTAATTCCTGTTTTAGTTTTTTATCCAGATAAAAACCATATGTAAAAAAAAAACCATATGTAATGACTACTGTCACTTCATTTACTTATGTTATTTAAACAGAAATGATTTAACTAGTACCACTTTTCTTAATAAGTAACAACTTAATAGATCAAATAATTTGATTTTACCCCCCAAAAATCCTATTTCTCTAACTATATAACAAATTATTTCTATTCTAAAATGAAAACAAAATTTTTTGTTTTTTTCAAGACAGGGTTTCTCTGTGTGGCTTTGGAGCCTGTCCTAGAACTCGCTCTGCAGACCAGGCTGACCTCAAACTCACAGAGACTCACTTGCCCCTGTCTCCTGAGTACTGGGAGGCATGTGTGAATACTGCCTGGCTTTGAAAACTTATATTTATGAAACCAGCTGTACTTAATGTATATGTACTTTAATATTTAATTATCTCAAAATAAATAAACTAATTGCTGTGAATTTTACTGACTTTATAGCAGGTATGAATACAAGTAATAACATAATATGTGAGAGCTAGAGAGCTCTTAATGAACAGGCCCTGGTTCTATGAACCAAAACTGTTGATTTTCTAGTCATAATGTGAATTTTTAAATGAAACATTTTCAAGTAAGCAGAACAATAAACAACCAAAATCCAACTCAAGGTGTACCTGTGCTGTCACGCTAGAGCCTCCAACCTGGTCCGTTTTCTTCAATCAGTTGCAATTATGTCCCCTAAACTGCCCAGTTTTCTATGAAAATGACGTATGAGACACAGATATTATATTAACTGAGATGTGATATCAGAAGCTAGTGTGAACAGAGAACACTATAAAATGATATGAAAAACAAATATTCTAAATTCTACTTTATTACCTGTGCTTTTAATAAACCTGATACTGAGATTAAAAAAAAATCCTACCCAAATATACTCTTAGGACTTTTAAAATTTAAAGGATTCTGAAACTTCTATTAAAATATGAAAATTCTATTAGAACCTGCTATTCTGAATTCAAAGCAAAGAGTTGTCTATTCTCAGTAACAATTTAGACACTAGAATGAACAATGAAGGATACAATTATGCTAAAAAGAGTAAAAATTTAGTGACAAATATTGCTAGGATAATCCCTGTAAAGAATGCAGCTTGCAAATTGCTGATTTTCAGCATAAGAGACCACTTATTCTTTATTAGTTTTAAAAGAAATGCATGTAGCTTATATATCATGATCAGTGAACAGAGTTTTGTATATGGCATATCATTGACATTGTTTTATTATGTTTTGGTCAAACGAATCAAACAAGAAATCCCAAATGCAGGTATACAGATGAATGTAATTTCTTAAGGGTATATTTTCTTTGCTACGTAAAAATTATGCATCTCAAGTACTGTTTACTTTTCCTAATATTTCTCCTTTGTCTTTTACTGATATGAAGCTTTAAAACATAGTGAGTTAATTTTGATTCCTATATATACTTCAAAACCATGCAATGTCCAGAGACGTCTACATCTGATGTCTTGCAAACAGCTTCTTGTTTTTCTAAGTAGATGCCCCACCTTTTTTTTGTTTGTTTCTTTCTTTCTTTAAAGTAAGTGTCCCCTAGGCAGGTCTTTGATGTTATTACATAGTCAGAGGATTCAATTTTATATGAAACTATATGAACCACACTGACAAATGAGTAATAATAAAAAAGTCCTCTTTTGTTTTGGAAATATCTAGTAACCCAAACTAAATTTTTAAATAACATCAATTTTCTACAAATAGTGTTTACCATGCTAAGCATGGTGGCACATGCCTATGATCCCAAGTCTAGGAGGCTGAGACAGGAAGAAATTGAGTCTGAGGCCCGCCTGGGTTACACAGCAATTTCTAGACCAGCGGGGCGCCATAGTGAAAACTCTGTCCTATATGAACAAAAACCACCCCTCCAAGAATCCATAAGCAGGAAACAAGCCTGCTTCTTATCCCCTATCCTCTTAATGTTTTTGCCGCACACACATTCCTGGGACTACGAAGCCTATTAAAGAACAGCACCAAGGACTGCACAACATAAAAGAATTATCTACTATAAAACAAGGGTGAGCTATCTACTATGTAGTATTTGTCAGATTTAATAACAATTATGCCGCTTTGCTCAACGAATATATCATTTATTTTCTTAATGCTGCTTCATAAAATAGAGGTCTCCTGAAGACCCTGCTTATGAAAGAACAAAAAGAAACCTGTCAAAATATATTTCCCTATTAAATTAAGACAGAAAATAAAACTTTAAATGGTATGTTAGTCAGTTTTCTAGCACTATAACTAGCACTATAAAAAGATACTTGGCTAGGCAGTAGTGGCACACACCTTTAATCACAGCACTCGGGAGGCAGAGGCAGGTGGATCTGAGTTTGAGGCCACAGAGAGAGATCCACAGAGAGTGTCAGGACAGCCAACGTGACACAGAGAAACCTTGTCTCAAAACAAACAAACTTCAAATTAGAAAGAGCAAAGATTAGACTGGCAAGATGGATCAACAAGTACAGATGCTTGCTGTCAAGTTTCACGACCTGAGTTCAATCCCTTGAACTCATATGGTGGAAGGATAAAAACCATCTCCCAAATATGTCCTCTGACCTCAACTCATCTGTCTTATATGTAAATATCTCCAAGACAGGGATAGGAAAATGGCTAACCACTGCAGGGCATGACTGTAATACCTTTAATACTAGCACTTCAGGAAGTAGGGACAAGAGGAGCAGGAATTCAAAGTCACCCCAACCATACAGCAAGGTCAAGGTCGACTTGAGCTTAGTGACTCTTGCTCTAACTGCCCAGCCCCCGGCAAACCAACAACTTCAGAAAATAACAAGGTATATAAATAAACCACAGACAAAGAAAGACAAATTAAACTTAAACAGCCCTTGGGAGAGAGAGGCAAGAGAATCTGTTCATGCCTAGGATACATTATCATATACTATCTCAAAATTTTTATAAAGGAAAAATTCTATTTGATGCAACATGGAACTAAAATGCAATGCTTAGGCAACAAAGGATTCATACACTAAAAATCATAAAATCTTCCTGAAAAAAAACATTCTAGAAGGCACTAATACATGCCAAAATGTTTCATGTTCACGGTCAGCCTTGGTTACATGGGGAATTCGGGCCAGGGCTAGATCCTATAAAAGAAAAGACTAGGGCTTGGCATTGGTGGTGCATGCCTTTAATTCCAGCACTTAGGAAGCAAGGCAAGAAGATCTCTGAGTTCAAGGCCAGTCTGGTCTACGAAGCGAGTTCTAGGACAGCCAGGGTTGTTATGCAGCAGAACTGTCTTGAGGCTTGCTGCTGGGTAGGACAACCTGAGTTTGATGTCCATGGGACAGACACTCTTCTCTATAAATTAATAAATAAATAAGTGTTTTATAAATAAAAGTAACCAATATTTGAGACTTTTTGCTAAAAGTTTTTTCCAGTATCCCACTGGCAGGTGTCTGCAACAGACATTCACTGAACACGGTTGCTCTCTCAGAATGATGGTGATAATAAACATATATTGGCTACTGTACATCAGGCATCTTCCAAACACTCCATACACATTCAGTTATGTAACACAATCAGAGGCATCTGAAACAGTACAAAGTTAAATAACTTTACAGTTACCATCTCTACTCCAATCAGATAAAGGAAATGGCCTTTTGAACCGTAGTTAAATCTGTAACTTACAGGCTTCACCACTGTAACTCATGCCTCTGTCTCAATACAGACCTCTTAAATCCGCTCACAATCAACACAAGTAGAGTACTCAAGAGCCAATCCTAGCTGGGTATGTTGGTCCGCACCTTTAATCCTACCACTTGGGAGGCTAAGGTAGGATGATCTCCAAATTCAAGGCTAATATGGTCTACAGAATGAGATCTGTAGACAGCCAGGGCTACACAGAGAAACCCTGTCTTGAACCACCTCCCCAAAAGAGCTATCCTAAAAACAAAGTTGGTGAGACTCTCCTCAGCATGTTCACATTGCTAACCTGAACATATCTGTAGCATATCTGTAGGTAAAACTATATGCTGAACAGACCCCCCCCATCACATTACCACTTAGAAATAAACCAGCTGTGTATAATTCTTTGTGGGGGGAATCAAGGTCTCATTTTCAGTTTTTCTAAAGTCTTCTCAGGAAACTGTCTTTCTCACCCTCCCATCACCTTTTTTACCTGGATGTACCCAACTATAAAGCCTGATCTGAAAGAAAATCATAAACCACATGCTGGGTTTTCCCTTATCTTCCAAACACAATACACTACGTTAAAATTCTATCACACAGCAAATACTCAAAATACATTCTGAGATTAATATCGCTATGTACACTGGACTTACAGATTCCTTTAATAGTTCAGAATCTACCGAGGCTGTTATCATAAGGTTAAATTACACTCAGAACTGACTGGGGGCTCACACTTCAGCGCCACTGCAGTGCGATGTTAAAGGTGTGGGGCACTGTAATACAGAGCACATGGCTGCAGGGGACAATCAGGAAAGGCTCACAGAGTTGGGAGTGTAAGAGTGGGAGAGCACTCACTCGGCATACATGAGGCCTTGGCTTCCCTCCTCAGCATCACCATAAAAAAACATCTAATTTGTAATAGGGAACCTTTGTGATATATAAGGAAATCTATCATACATTAAAGATCTGAGAAAAACCTTAAACTTCTGATCCTCTTGCCTCTCCCTCTGAAGGACTTCGATTATAGGTGTGTGCCATAGCATCTGGTTTATGTGGTACTGAGAGATCTACCTCAGTATACAAGCCAGGCAAGCATTCCAATCAACAGAGCTACATCCCTCGTCCCCAAGGTATCTTTTAATACAAATATTTATATGCTCATCCTAATTACACTACTTAATCTTCTGTGCATTCACTGTGCTCCATATGAGTCTCCTGAGCTCTTATCTCAGTGTACTGTACATGACTGTCTCTCTCCATGACCATCTGGCAGCCTTCAGTAGCTGCCAAAGGAAGCTGCCATCCACGTTTGTGGCAGCAAAACCTGAACGGTTTGTCATTTACTTAAATGGCACTTTTATGTCTACAGATAATCCTGCAAATAACAGTAGAAAAAAAGATAAAAGATTATATAACAGTTAAGATTCCAATGAAATCAGAATTCAAATCTAAGTCTTCAGTCAATAAATTCTACTGTTTTTTTTTTGTTTTGGTTTGGTTTTTTTGCTTATTTCCACAAGTAACAAATGACAAGTCTATAAAAGCTATGGTCAAATATAAAGCATTACAATACTAAATGCCCTTTAAAGGTGGAACATTTGCTCCTAAATAAAGTTATTTCTATGTAAAAATATATAAAATGATCAAAGCTAGTTTCTATTACTATAGCCTCAAGCATTTGAGGAAAGACTTTACCTTGTACTTCCTTATCATGAGATTCTTTTAGTTTTGTCCAGAGCTCCTTGAAGTCACTGGACACATCTGCAGAGTTAGGGCTTCCACAGCTGCTTCCTGAAATGCTCATCTTCTTACCAGGCTTCACACTTCTGTTTGTGGATGTTTCCCCGACCTTTCTCGTTACTTTACATAGGTGGGAGGTTGTCTCGAAGTGGTCAAATACCTGAAATGACAAATTACAATGTGTCATCTTTTGCTTATCTGCTTATGTAATTTGAAATCATGATGAAAGTCGAAGTCTAGCTATTTTTCAGTTTTCTTTATCTATTTACAAGCAATCATTTGGAGAATTTGGGAAAAGAGAGAAAAGAAGATAATGGTGAGAGCAGGGTGTGGCTGAGAGGCAAAGGTAGGCAGAGATCTGAGTTCAAAGCCAGCCTGGTCTATGTAGTTCCAGGGCTACATAGTGTGAGACACTGTGCCATTATAAGAGAGAGAGAGAGGGAGGGAGGGAGGGAGGGAAAGAGGGAAGGAGGAGGAGAAGGAGGATGAGGAGGAGGAAATAGCAGTGAGAAAACTATGGTTTCAGTTATTGGCTTTCACAAAGGATAAATCTCAGCTGGTTTCCAGTTTTCCATCTAAGAAGGAATAATTACTCATATTATGTTGAAGTTAAAGGGCTCTAATAATACTGAAATGTTTACAATCATTCAGTCAGTACTCACCCTTATAAAATGTACTGGCCAGCTGTGCTGGCTTATGCTTACAATTGCAGTACTCCAGAGGTGGGGGGGGGGGTGTCCCAAATTCAAGGTCAGCCTGGGCTATATAACAAGACCCATCTTTAAAAGAAGAAAAAAGAGAAAAGGGAATGGGGGCCTGCAAGATGAATCAGCAGGTAAAAGACCACCAAGCCTGACAACTTGAGTTTGGTCCCTGGAAGGTGAAGGAAGGAAAGACCTGACTCCAACAAGGTGACTTCTGACCTCCACGTGTCCTGTGGCATGGACACATACGTCCATTCACATGGTGAATAAATAAATATAGCAGTGATAAATACGCAAGGAATGAGAATGTAGGTAAGAAGTGCTTGCTAAGCACAGAGAAGGCCCTGGGTTCAATCCCTAGCACTGAAAAAAAAATGACTGCTTCAACTTTTGGAGAGATGTGCAGGTGCAACACTATAATGAACCAGGTAAGAAAACATTCTGAAATATTCCTGATTTTATAATCTCTTACATACATGCATGTTATAAAACCAGGAAGATGGATGACATATTAAGGCATGGGAGGATCTATGTATATTTCTAGGAATAAGTCAATATGATACACATACAGCAAAGCTCTAAGAATACTCTTTCTATTTAGAGGTACAAAACTATTAGGGTAATGGTACTTTGTGACTCTTACATAGTTCCAACTAATGATTAACTTTACAACTTATGCAGCCCCTAAAAAGTAACAGACTATTCAGGAACTCAAGTGGTTTAATAAATATTTTAAACTGTGCTCTTACCTGAAACCATTAATTAGCTACCATTACAAAAGTAACCTATTGGGCATGGTGACTCACGCCTGAATCTCAGCAATGGAAAGGCTGAGGGGAGAAGTCTGCTCCAAGTTCCAGGTTGTCCTTCTCAAGAAAAATAATGGGAGAAAGCAGAGGAGATAGGAGGAAGGGAGCACAACACATAAGGACCTGGAGATGTAGCTCAGTGGGTAAGTGTGCATCTAGCACTCACGGGGCTCTGGGCTCCATTCCTGGCACTAAGTAGAGGAGGATCAGGAGTTCAAGGCCATCCTCTGCTCTCCAGCTACACAGAGAGTTTGAGGCCAGCCTGGGACGCATAGTCTCTGTACAAAAACAACTTCTGGATAGAGAACCGGCTGCGTTTAAAGAGCACTGGCTGCTTTTTCAGAGAACCCAAGTTCAAGTTCTAGCACCCACATAACAACAGCTCACACCCTTTCGCAACTCCAGTCCCAGGCAATCTGACACCCTCTTCCAGTCTCCAGGGACACCAGGCATGCATGACACCCATGCACATAAAATAAAAATGAGTCTCAGAAACAAAAACTAAAGCAAAACTTTCAGAGGAGCAATAATGCATTCAACCTGATTATAACTGCGTAACGACATTAGAAGAAACCCATTACTTTGGCTAGACGTGGTGGTCACACCTTTAATCCCAGCACTCAAGAGGTAGAGGCATATTTCTGCCTTCCAGGCCAACATGGTCTACAAAGTTCCAAGACAGCCAGGGCTACCCAGAGAAACCCTGTCTGGAAAAACCACAACAACAACACAAAATGATGTATGCAAGCGCTTGGTCACCTGCGCAGCACTACAGAAATAACACACATTTACTAAGGGCCACAAAGTTGCAGTAGCTTTCTAAAGAGTCAGAATAAATGAAATAAAGAATTATTTCAAGTAATCTTATTAATTTTGGGGGGAGCACTAAGTTATTATTAAATCGCATAAATACAGTCATTTAAACTTTTTAAAAATTTTTATTTGTTATAGTGCTAGGAACAGAATCCAGAGCTTCATGCATGCTAGGTGAAGATTCTACCACTGAGATTTATTTTCAGCTCCATTTTCCTTTTTCCACTAAGCTTTTGTCTGTTACAGGAATAGTGTGGAATAAACTAATATTCTCTGGAATTGGCTTGAAAATGGGTGTGGGTGGAGAGAAGAAACAACACATTAGTCTGGCAATTACTGAAGCTGAATGATAATAATGCTAATGTCTCTCTCTCATGAATATTCATTTCATATTAATTTTTTAACGTGAGATGAGGAGCGTTAAAACAATTTTGCTTCACGAGCCTGTGTTTAGCTTAGCATCAAAGATACATTATGGTCAATAAGAGACTACACTTAAGTCATGTATAGTAGCATATGGGTTATACTTTTAATAATAATTCTAGTGAGTGAATTATCAGAACTCTACAAAGAGGTACAATTATTAACTCTGGTACAGACAGGGTGGGTTATTTCGGGGTTACGATTTGAGCCCAAAACTATACTTCTCTGTAGTGAGAAATAAAGTATGGGAGGTGGTGGTAGCTTGCCACCTTTAATCCCAGCACTTGGGAGGCAGAGGCAGGCAGACCTCTGAGTTAGAGGTCAGCCTGGTCTACAAAAGCAAGTTCCAGGACAGCCAGGGCTACTCAGTGAAACCCTGTCGAAACGAAGAGAAGAAGGAGGGAGGAGGTTGGGAGGAGGGAGGAGGGTGAGAGGAGGGAGGAGAGTGGAAGGAGGGAGGAAAGGCAGAAGGAAAGAAAAAATAAAGTTTAAAGGTTTAATAACTTTAATGGGAAGCTTAAAAGTGAGTTAACATTAGTGTAAACTAAGTATCCTTTAGGAAATGCTTCAATGACGAGGTAGTTAAAATAATGCAATGTTTTGTTGTTTTGAAACAGGGTCTATTTAGCCCTGGCTGACCTAGAAGGCCTAGGCAGACCAGGCTGGCTCCGAACTCATATGGAGACCTGCTCGCATCTGCGTGCGCTGCCACCACGGCCGCTCAGCTACATAAAACACCATTAATACCAAGTTTGCAAATTTTGGTTCACGACTTCCTTCCCGTCTACCCGCTCGCCCAGCACTTTGGAGCCCATCTTTTGGCTCTGAACCGTTATTCGCTGCGCACCGCGCCCTTCTCCCCTCCACACTCCGATCTCTCTCTGCGCACACAAAGGCTAGGTGTGTCCTCGGCGTCGCGAGCCTGCACACCGAAGATGCTAGGCAAGGCCAGGCGGTCACGCCACACAAGAGAAACGGGCGGGCCGGTCGGCATCCCTCTCACAGCGCTGTCGTGCCAATCCCGTCTCCAGCCGCCTCTCGTCAGACGCCACTAAGCACACACCGAGGGCGCTCCCGAGGGTGCCCGAAAAGCGCGCGCTGCGCACGGAGCGCATGCGCGGGGCGGGCTCAGTGCCGAGGGGCGCGCCGTCGCGGGAGCCCGAGACTCAGCGTGGACCAGGAGTGTGGTGCGTCCTCCAGGCCAGCCCAGATCCACCCTCTCTCGGCGGGTGCCTCACGCCTTGCCGCCGCCGCGGCCTCTCCTAGAGCGCGGTTCCCGGCCGGAAGTGGCCGCTCCGACTCCGCTCACCGGGTCGGGGGAAGGAGAGCCTGTACTCACCGCTCCGAGCCTCCCTGGAAGCTCTCGGGAGCGCAAGGCCGACAGCGGTGTCCTCCGCCGGGAAGGCCCCGCCGCTCGCTCCTACCCTCCTTCCGCCGCGTTCCCTCCCTCGCCAGGCGGCCGGACCCACGGCGGGGACGGCCACAGCCTCCCGGAGGAAGGCCGGAGGGCGCCCGGCCCCGC